TGATTTCACTTGCTGGAGTGTAGTTACTATATTGTCAGCTAGTCTTTGTTTTTGGGCATCACTAGTGAGAATATTATTGTAGAAATCTGCTGGGTGCTGCAAGTCAACAGCATTGTTTTGGAGAAGAACTATTTGTTCTTTGGGTTTAGATTCATCTACATAAGGTATAGGCCCACTGAAGGAGTTAGGATAGTACGTGGGAGCATCATTCATGTTGCTCCTTATCGGAGGAGTGCTGTGTCGGTTGTATGTCTTAGCGTATTTAATTGTGACCAAGGCGATGGTTGTGAGCATCTTCATACACGAGTATTCTGGCTTCGGAAAGCCCATCAACTGGAAAAAGTATTCTTTCTTCATTAAGGTGACTAAAGATATTAAAAAAAATAAGTGCTTGAGAAGAGATTTGTGTTGATTAAGTTAAGATCTCTTAACTCCTCTGGGCCTCCTGCAGTCGTTGTCAGGAATCCTATAGGATTCTGAAACAAAGATTTTGAGAAGGTATACGTATTGTGAAAAGTAATGTTGTTACATTACTACTAAGTCTTATTACGACTTACTGAAGAGCTAACAATTTTCTTATGCTGTTTCAATGGTTTAACGTAGAATGGATTAAAAATATTTATTTCATAATATTATACGTCACGTGACAAGTTTTTACAAAAGCTTCTGAAGGAGTGACCCTTTTTATGCCTAATATGGATCTATATAGTACATGATTTGAAGTAATATTTGCTTGCCTATGAAATAAAGATATTTGCCTTTTTTTATTTGTTTATTAGGTTCACAAAAACACACGGAAATTTGTACGCCAATTAATAAACAAACTGAGCCTTTTTAGGCAATACCATACAAAAGTTGATAGAGGTGCCAGAGAAATTATATAAATAATTGAAGTATTTCAAAATTTAAAATATTTTACTTACCAGATGTTGCATTTTTAACTCGTTGAGATGTCGTAGCAAAGGAGGTTATGTTGCGGCATACTAACTCATGAAGTCATGACAGTAGATGTTACTTAGAATTAAATGTACAAAAAATAGCCCTACAGTCTTCTTCTCAAATGGAACGTGATTGCATAATCCACAAATTATTGTATTCCGTTCGATTACCTTTACAGCAATTTATATGAAAACCAAGCGTGCCACATTTTTCGTTCCCACTATGACGACACAAGAACTATTTAGTAACGGGAAGTCTCCTTCCGCTATAGATCGATTGATTGAACTGCCTCCGTGGCCGAACGGTTACCATGCCGGGCTGCCACGCGGAGGTCTCAGGTTCGATTCTCGGGCCGAGAGAAATATTTGTATGGCCGACATGTATACCTATCGTGAGTTTGGGTGTAATTTGTGGTTGTCTATGTGTGTGTCCATGGCACCCGCGACACAGGGTTTCCCTAGTGCGGGGCTATGTCGAGTGTGTGCGTTATTATTATTATTATTATTGAACGGAATACGCGTAATGCGTGTTCCATTCAATTAATCGATCCTGAATAGAATAATTTTTTGTTCAAGTATTGTTGATTACAAGTTATCGTAATATGAATATAGTAGAAAAATACTAGAATAAGATAGTTAAGTCCTTTATTTTACTTGTTTTTTAAAAATGTTGATTACTTAAAACAATAAAGACTTTAATTTTTAATCGACTTCAAATATTAAAATTATTGTCCTTCCAATAAAATGAGCTTATTGTATAAGATCTTTTTGTAACAGAAGATCTTATCGATGAACTTAAATAATGAAAACACACGTCAATGTATGAATTTGCGACTGCATTAATTAATTTTTCTAGATGGTTTTGTATTGGTAATTGATCAAACTAATGAATGACAAGACAACTGAAAATGTTACTGCTGACAAAATATAGTAAAATCTTATTAATCAGAAGGGGTTTACTTAATGGCGGCCTTGCGAGAAATTTTTATGATTTGTTTATTATTTCTCGGATTTCTAACTCTGCTACTCTACATATTTGGATAGCATCTTAGGTGGGAGAAACTAGACCACCTTCGTCCTTGAAAGCAACGAACTCATACGTATGTTCAACTCCAGGTTTTTGTAAAGACGCACTGTTACATTCTTCGCATTTTATATTTTTTTGTAATACTTGTACTGCATATCGTGCAATGTATGAAATTATTTGCTCACTATATTCGGACATTCGAGGCAACGTGCTGCAAAAATCATCGAAATTACAGATACTACTGATAATAGATACTACAAAACTGGAAAAAAAACGAAACGATACTGAACGTTATAACAAAAAGTTGTAGAATATTTTTATAATATTGCTAAGGTCATAATAATTTTCGTCCCTTTGTTATCAAAATCGATCAGAATCGAGAACAGTGTTGCCTAACGTATACATCAATAAATGTTAAATTTGGTCAAAAAATGTACAAGCGGCCGTACCGCGAAATTGAATGCGTTAACTGCGAGTTAACCACGACAATGAAATCGACTGCAAAGTCGATTTTAATTTGAATAATATTAGTAATTACGTGCTAATAAGTAAAGTTAATTATAAATAAATTTACGTCAGCGTTAACGGTAAATTAACCGCGATTATTTCAATTTAAATACGTGCAATTAATAAGTGTTAACGAAACACGCAGTAGTTAAAACCTATCTAATACAATTCCAAAGAAGATCGTTCATGGTTTTAGGCGACAGCCACTTGTAAAACCAATATGCAGCGTCGCCAGCATTACCATTATGTAAACAGTTACCAACACCAGTCTGTAATACCCGGTAATAATTAGTTTATCGCCAGACGACAATAAAACAAATGGCATATCACAATTAAAAACTTAATTGACTTGGGATCAGTGCCAAAGTGCTGTCCAAGAAAACATGAATACATTTTTAGTACTTTTTAGCCCCAAAACGCAACGGTAGTTAACCGTAGATCTTTGATTCCACTGATGAAATGGTATGAATCCTTCACATGTGTGGAAGTGTTCCCTCTCAATGGTGACAGTACCTTTGCCATGTGTTGAGCCAGTTTGTAGGTTGGTGTGTCAATCTGGCTAACTATGGGACGGAGTGGGGTGTCAGCCTTATGTATTTTTGGTAACCCATACAGTTTTGGTGGTTTCACGGCGCAGGGCACAAACGCACTTACATCAAGTTTCAGCGTATCGGAGTGCTTAGATATTAAGTTAGTTGTTGTTTTTAATATCTTGGTGGTAGGGTCTTTCTTCACCTTTTTATACGTGCTTTCATCCGATAGTAAGTCAGTTATTTTGCTGTTATAATCTGACGTATTCATGACCACCATCGCGTTACCTTTATCTGCACGGAGGATGACTAATTCAGGATCTTCGCGGAAGGTCTTCAGCGCGTAATATTCATCTCGAGTAAGATTCAGTCTGGGCTGTTTATTTGAACGCAATATTGACGAAACGTCTTGGCGTATTGCCTCCAAATCTTCCTTTCTCATGTTGTTTTTAACTAGACAATCCTCAACGTGACATGAATACATTTTAAGTACTTTTTAGCCCCAAAACGCAACGGTAGTAGTCGTTTCCCGCTCACGCGATGCGCTCCTCCTACCGCAAAATGGCGGCTATTCGGTTTCGCAAATTAGAAAAGCATTCATTCATTCATTCAGTTTAAATACAAGTTTTTATAAATAAAATTATTATTCTGCATTGCTAAATAAATACCCTCCGTACTACCAACAAAAACATCTCAAATAAAATGCAGTAATACACCGCAAATCCTGCACTTAAAAAGCACTAATGAAATTTTTGGTGTACTTGGATAAATATGATAATATTCCGTTTGAGTGGTTCTAACGTTTACCATGAAATTACTCCTTAAAGTATAGTTTACAAACATTTATATTCAGGGTAAACTTAAAAAACGCTACTTACGGTATGTTTTCAATAAATAAACACCGAAATCACCAGCCCAAACCAAAACACTTACGATTGTCTTGACGTATTTTTCAAGTTGTTTATTTTTTTTAAATGACAGACCCAGGCATTAAAAACTTTAAGGTTTGCTAGAGTAGTTACAGAAATAGCAATGAATATTAGTTCTTTTACCTGTTATAACTTCGATATCCGATAAATCGGTATAAAATGATCACCGGCACGTCTAGGTGTGGTATGCGTCTACGGCTGCATGTATCGCGTGAGCGGTTAATGAACATAACGTGCTTTAACAAATTTGTAAAAAAAACTCATTTTAAAATGGAGGACTATCGAATTGCCTCAAAATTTCATGGCCAAAAGACCTGATAGAGGTGTATTCACCGAGTCATCTATCTGCGAAGCAAATCGAAAGTACCGCAGATTTCAGTATTTACCTTGTGACTCGAATGAAATTGAAACCTATGAATTTACTGCTCTGGCATACGGCTTGTCCACAGCATCAAAAATGTTTACCAAAATCACGAAAGAAGTTGTAACACATTTGAGACAACAAGGATTTAAGTCCGTGGTATATTTAGATGGTATTTGTTGTGTACTAGCTGATTATGACGATGTATCAATAATGTTAATGCAACCATTAACTTATTGCAATGTTTAGGCTTCACCGTTAATTAAGGCAAGTCTCTGTTACAAAAATGTTAT